TCCTGCCTCCACCTCCTGCCTCCACCTCCTGCCTCCTCCTCCTGCCTGCCCCGTCCCCATCACCCACCGCTCCATGCTGCAGCACTGAGGGCTGAGAGCAGCACTGCTGCAGAGTGCTGGGCAGCACAGCTCCATCCACACGGCGTTATTGAATCAGGGGTGAGGATGGAAGCAGGTGGCTGCAGGAGAAGGCAGCAGCACTGCCTGCAGTGACAACAACCCAGGCTGGCAGCTCTTCCCAGAGGAGTGCCATCCCTTGATTCAGGCCAGTGCCAACTCCTCCCTACAGACTCACAGTGTGCAGACCTAAGGAGAAGTGGGGAAATTCCTTGTACTGGGTGGTGAATACCAACTGGGAGCAAGAAAAACTGCGCTTTTACCTGGGAAGTCTGATCCCAGAGTGAAAAGGTTGTACAGGTGCATATTACATACATTTCCATTTCCAACCCATCGCCAAACCCTGCTGCCGTGGGGCTCAATAACAGCCTCACGTTGTGCTGGGGGGCTCGGCTGGGAGATCAGGAGCAATTTCATTTTGGAAAGAGGGGTGAAGCACCAGGGAGCGGGGGATCAGTGAGCTGGGAGGAGCCCCAGAACTGTGGAGAGGTGGCACCTGGGGCAGTGGGCACGGTGGGATGCAGATCCTGGGGGCTGCTCCAACCCTGAGCTGAACGGTGGCTTTATTTGCCAAGCCAAGGGAAATTTCAGTTTCCAGAAGCCATGAGAGGGGGAAAGAACCCAAAGGAAGCAACCCCACTTGGAACCAGTCTATGTTCACCAAACAGACAGAACCCCTCAGTCGGCACACACTGCCCGCAAGTCCAGGGTGGGAAACCATCAGAGCTCTTTTCTAGGACCCCCAAATGCAGCACCAAACAATGGCTCAACAAAAACAGCGGCTCAGAGGAAGGGAAGCTTGCCCAGAGGGGACAACGGCCCCAAGCACCAGCAGGAGGCTGCTGTTGGGAGGCATTGGGAGGCAGGCCCAACGGCACCGCAGCCGAGCCGCCCAGCCCCGCACAGCCAGCTCCCAGCCGCCCCCAGGCCCGGCGCCTCACCTCGCTTGGGGACCTTCAGCGCGGCCGACTCGGGGGTCTCTGGGGACGTGGTGTCAGCTCCATCTTCAAACACCTGGATCTGGAAAAGGGTTGAGGAGTGTGAGTGCCAAAGCCGCGTGCGCTCAGCGCTGCAGCAGGCTGCACGGTTCTGCCGCGGGTTTGCGTCGGAATCCATTGAGGTCTCGGAGCGCCGGCAGCCAGCGGGGGCTTTGGGGTCCACAGTGGAAGCTGCAGGCTGTGCAGGCTGAAGCACAGACATGTCTGAGCTGGAAGGAAGAGCAAACCAGCCACAGGCCGCCGGCTGTGGTTTGTTGGTGGGAAGGAGCCCCGGTGCCAGCAATGTGCTCCTGGGGGAGATCACACAGCTCGTCCACGGGATCAGGCCCAGCCAGCACGGGTTCATGAAAGGCAGGTCGTGTTTGAGCAACCTCATCTCCTTCTACGACTGGCTGACCAGACTGGTCGATGAGGGAAAGGCAGTTGATGTATCTACCTGGACTTCAGCACAGCCTTTGACACGGTCTCTCACAGCATCCTGCTGTGGAAACTGGCTGCCCGTGGCTTGGGCAGTTTTACCCTCTGTTGGATGAGGAGCTGGCTGAGGGCCGTGCTCAGTGGTGGTGGTCAGTGGAGCGAAGTCCAGCTGGAGACCTGTTTCAAGTGCTGTCCCCCAGGGGTTGGTGCTGGGGCCCATCCTGTTTAATATCTTCATGGATGACTGAGATGAAGGGATTGAGGGCACCCTGAGTAAGTTTGCAGATGGCACCAAGCTGGGAGGTGGTGTGGATCTGCCTGAGGGCAGGGAGGCCCTGCAGAGGGATCTGGATCAGCTGGATGGCTGGGCCGAGGTGAATGGGATGAGGTGCAACAAGGCCAAGTGTGGGGTCCTGCACTTTGGCCACAACAACCCCATGCAGCACTACAGGCTGGGGGATGAGTGGTTGGATGAGTGTGAAGAGGAAAGGGAGCTGGGGGTGTTGGTTGATGCTCAGCTGAACATGAGCCCACAGTGTGCCCAGGTGGCCAAGAGGGCCAATGGAATCCTGGCCTGCATTAGAAATGGTGTGGCCAGCAGAGCAGGGAGGTGAGCATCCCCTGCACTCAGCTCTAGTAAGGCCGCACCTCGAGTGCTGTGTTCAGTTTTGGGCTCCTCACTGCAAGAAAGACATTGAGGCCCTGGAACGTGTGCAGAGAAGGGCAACGAAATGGTGAGGGGTCTGGAGCACAGGGCTGATGAGGAGCTGGGATTGTTCAGTGTGGAGAAAAGAGGAGGCTCAGGAGAGACCTCATTGCACTCTACAACTTCCTGAAGGGAGGCTGTGGTGCAAAAGGGTCTGGCCTCTTCTCCCAGGCAAATAGCAGGACCCGAGGAAACGGCCAGAAGTTGTAGCAGAGGAGGTTTAGGTTGGATATGAGGAGAAACTTTTTCTCTCAGTGGTCAGGCACTGCAATGGCTGCCCAGGGAGGTGGTGGAGGCGCCGTCCCTGGCAGCGTTCAAGAGGTGCCTGGATGAGGAGCTACGAGATGTGGTTTAGTGCTGGTGGCACTGATAGCAATGGGAAGGGGGTTGGACTGGATGAGCTTGCAGGTCGTTTCCAACCTTGTGATTCTGTGATTCTGTGATTCACTGTGCTCCCAAACGGACAGAAGGACGGAGATGGCGGCACAGGAATCACAGCAGCCCCACCAGTGCTGAACACACTGAAACCGCAGTGCCCACAATGGGAAAAGGGAAAGGCTTCCCTCATGGCTGCGCTGTGAGCGTGCTTTGAACTCAGGCACCATCAGCTGAGCCACCTTGCAGGCACCATTTTGCACGGCCACACGATGAGGACGCAGCTGAGCAGCACCCCTGAGGTTCCCCCAGCGGCGCATTTCTGGAGATGACACCTAATTGTAAATCAGAAGACCTGGAACACCACAAGGCCTCATCGATGTCTGTGTTATGGGAAGGGGACAGCAGGAGGACAAGGGAGGTGGCGCCGCTCCAGGGCTCCCCACAGCCCTCTGTGCCACAGCACGGCGCTGAGGAGCGACGTCACCTCGTGGTGCTGCCCTGCCTTGAAATGGCAATGGAGGAGACCAGCAGGTGCTGAGCTCCTACCCACGGCACGCGGACAGCAAAAGCTCAGCAGCTCAACCCAAGTCGTGGATCGCTTTGACTGTAAGGTGAGCAGTGTTTAGGGGGAGTTCTCTGACCGATTTCCAGGCACCCAGGCCTGGCAGCTCAGGGGCAGCAGGCAGGCTGGCAAATGGGATCCTGGGCTCCATCAGGAGAGGGGTGGTCAGCAGGGACAGGGAGGTGATTGTCCCTCTCTACTCGGCTCTTGTGAGGCCCCATCTGGAGTCCTGTGTCCAGGTGTGGAGCCCTCAGTACAAGGAAGACATTGAGATGTTGGAAAGGGTGCAGAGGAGGGCGACTGAGATGAGCAGGGGGCTGGAGCAGCTCCCCTATGAGGACAGGCTGAGGGAGTTGGGCTTGTTCAGCCTGGAGAAGAGAAGCTGCGGGGTGACCTCAGTGCAGCCTATCAATACCTGAAGGGAACCTACAGCCAGGAGGGGAGTAAACTCTTCAAAAGGGCTGACAACAGCAGGACGAGGGGAAATGGATCCAAATTGAGGGAGGGAAGATTTAGGTTGGATGTTAGGGGGAAGTTCTATACAAGGAGAGTGGTTAGGCCCTGGAACGGGCTGCCCAGGGAGGTTGTGGATGCCCCGTCCTTGGATGTGTTCAAGGCCAGGTTGGACGGGGTCCTGGGCAACCTGATCTGAATGTGTGTGTTTGGTGGCCCTGCTGGGCAGGGGGGTTGGAACTCCATGATCCTTGGGGTCCCTTCCAACCCGGGTGATTCTGTGATTCTGTGATTCTGTGGTGCTGTGCATTACAGAGGTCACTCCCAGGGTGGTGCTCAATGGCTCCACGTGCAGATGGAGATCGGTGACAGCGGTGTCCCTCAGGGGTCAGACCAGTGCTCTTCAATATCTTCATCGTGGCACTGGAGGTGGGACCAAAGGCACCCCAGCAGTCTGTGGGTGAGCCAAGCTCGGGGGGCAGTGGGCACCCCAGGGACAGGATGTCATGGGAGGGACCTGGAAGCTGAGCGGGGAACCTCATGAGATCCAGCAAAGCCGAGTGCAAGGGCTGCACCCAGGTCAAAGCAACCCCTGCCAGGGGGTCAGGGCAAGCTGGGGATTGCGGGGATGGAGTTCGGTGTGCTGAGATGGACCTGGGGTACTGGTGGATGGCAGCTGGACAGGAGGCAGCAGTGTGCCCTCACAGCCCTGAAACCAACTGTGCCCAGGGCTGCATCCAAAGCAGCACGGCCTGCGGGTCGGGGAGGGGGTTTGCCCCTCTGCTCTGCACTGGGAGGCCTCACCCAGAGCACCGTGTCCGGATGCGGGGTCCTCAGCACAGGAAAGACACAGACCTGATGGAGTGAATCCAGAGCAGGGCCACAAGAATGATCCCACGGATGGAAAACAAAGAGAGGCTGAGAACTGGGGCTACCAGCTGGAGAGGAAAAGGCCTCAGGGAGAGCTGGGAGCAGCCTTCAATACCTAAAGAGGTCGTGAGAAGGGAGGGGACAGGCTCCAGAGCAGGGTCTGTACGATAGGACAGGGGGAAATGGTTTCAGACTCGAATAGATTCAGGCTGGGTGTAAGGAAAAAGCCCTTTACAGCGGGATGGCGAGGCACTGGCTGCACAGAGAGGCAGCGGCCTGCAGAGCCAGGCGTCAGGGGATGCGGCTCCGAGCGCTGCTGGAGCTGCGGGTGTCCCTCGCTGCAGGCAGTGGGACCAGATGGCCCTTAGGGTCCCTCCCAGCTCAAAGCACCCCCCAGAGGCTGGGGGTGAAGGACGGGCATTTCCTCCCCCAGCACCGGGTGCAGAGCCACGTTCCTGCGTGGGGCCGGGCAGCCCCTGAGCCCAGCAGGCAGAGGCCATCGCAGAGCGACCAGTACCTGTGACTGCCGCACGAAGATGCCGTGGTTCTCCTCGCAGGTGAAGTATTTCCTGCCCTGCACGGTGCCATCATTCTTGCCCTTGGCTTCGTCCAAGATGACCCCGACCCATTTGCCCGTGGCAAACAGGGTGGCTCCGACGTAGGCTACGGTCCCACGGTGCCCCTTCCCGATGACCTCCACCCTGGAGCCCACCTTCAGGGGTTTGCCGCTCGTTTCCGTGCTCATCCTGGGGCCGGCGCTGGATGCCTGCGGGCAGAGGGAAAGGCAGCATTACCTGTGGGGATGGGAACAGGGAGAAAGGGATGGAGGAGGGCTGTGGGATGTCCTTCCTTCTGCTGCGGCTGCCCCGGGAGCCGGACAGCAGGAGCGCTGCCTGCTGCTCAGCACACAGCAGCACGCCAGCACACAGCCCCTGTTTGGGGAGGCAGCTTTGGCACAAGATGAGCTCGGCAGCAGACGTGGGTGCGAGTCTGTGCCTTATTGGCCAGGTTATGAACGATGCTGACCATCTTCAGAGCACGGATAAGAGAGCAGCTCAGTCGGAGCTTGAGACCCTTGGTGTCACTTCCATTGGCAACCGCTCACATTAAGTGCAGTTCAGGGAAGGAGGGAGCAGACACGCATTGGGATCTTCTCCCCCTCCTGCCTGAGGAAATCAGATGAGATTCAGCCTGCTTTGCCACAGAGCTACACTGACTACCCCTTGTGGTTGCTGAGGCGCTGCCGTGCCGATCGCCTCTGCACAAACCCAGCTCTTGAAAGGCACTCAGCACAGGGCCCTGCGCAGCTCAAACACAGCCGAAATCATCTGCACCACCAGAGCAAAGCACAACATTATGCAAATCTACTGCAGATCTGTCGAGCCGTCTGAAACAACTGCCAGCTCAGGTAGTGCTCCCTTCCAAAGATGCATCGCCAGGGTTCCAGCACTTTCCTTTGGAACGGAGACGGGGTGCTGCAGCTCTGCTGCACGGGGAGAGCGAGAGAGGAGCTTAAAAACAGCAGAACAGAGCAGAGAGGCTGCAGGACAGCCCTGCAGAACAGGGCAGAGAAGCTGCAGGACAGCCCTGCAGAACAGGGCAGAGAGGCTGCAGGACAGCCCTGCAGAACAGGGCAGAGAAGCTGCAGGACAGCCCTGCAGAACAGGGCAGAGAGGCTGCAGAACAGCCCTGCAGAACAGGGCAGAGAAGCTGCAGGACAGCCCTGCAGGAAGGCAGCTCTCCCACCACATCTCACTGCCCGAGGTGTGGGGCAGATGTGAGGAGGAAATGCTTCATGGTGAGGCCCTGGCACTGCCTGGAGCTGTGGGTGCCCCATCCCTGGTGCTACCGAGGCCGTGGATGGGCCCTGAGCTGCAGGGGCATCCGGCCTGCAGAAGGGCTGGGGTTGGGGGGCCCCTTCCAGCCCAACTGTGAACTGGTTCTACAGTTTTTCATCATTAAGGTCCCTTACAACAAACCACGCTGTGCTTCCATGGTTCTCTGACCCTTAATGTCCATTCCAGCCCAACCAGGAACTGGTTCCATGGTTCTCTGACCCTTAATGTCCCTTCCAGCCCAACCAGGAACTGGTTCCATGGTTCTCTGATCCTTAAGGTCCCTTCCAGCCCAACC